TGTGTGTGTGTGTGTGTGTGTGTGTGTGTGTGTGTGTGTGTGTGTGTATGCGCATAAACGTTGCTGCCCCTTGAGCCAGCCAAGCCTGCACTCACATTTTGGTCGCCATTTTTACTGGCTGTGTTTTGGCGAGCATGCTATCCAGTCTCTAAGGCTTATTGTTCCTTATCTGCAAAATGGGGATAATACAGTAATCCTTGTAGCATACTGGGACAATTAATGCCATGATCTGTATAAAGCGCCTCACCATGTCTGGCGCTCAGCACACAGTTCATGATAACTATTATGACTGTGTGACAATGACGATGATAGGTGATACAAACTCTGCTAAGCACAGTTCCTACCACAAACTGCTGAAGGCTACAAAAGGAAGAACAGGAGAAGGAGAAAAGAATGGAGTGTTCTTTGTGCTTTGGACTTAATTTCTTCAGCATTTCAAATTGTTTTTGCTCTTCACGTATTTGGAGCATTATTTAGTGACCATTTCTCAACATTCAGTCATTTTAGAAGGGGGCAGTAAGTGAGGCCAGATGCTGGAGAAGGGGGGGCATTAGAGAAAATATTGTCCAAGGCCTGTCATCCACCCAGTGATCCTGTGGCCCTGCAGGTCCTGTCCTGCAGATGTCTTTCATTGGCTCATGCCTTGTTCCTGACACTTGGGTCTGCTACTGTGTCTGTCTGAGAAGTTCATGCTTATATCTGAAGCTTCTGTGAAAATTTTTTGCTTTTTAAAAATGCATAAAATATTAGAAAACTGCTGTTAAAACGTCACCCTATGAGAAAAGACATGCAAGAGCTTTGATTGCAGATAATAGTCTGTTGTGCTGCATGTCTGAAAACAACTGAAAGTGCATATTTAACCATAAAGACTAACTATTTCGGGTCACCAACACTTCCATTCAGGAGCATCTGCCCTTCATGTGGGAATGGCCTCTGCTGCTCCTGGACACTGTTCATCTCTCTCAGTGCTCTGGAGGTGAAGAAGTTGAGGTCCTTTTATAAATAAACTTTTCTCCCCATTGTCAATCCCTGCTGGATGACAGGAACCATGTAGAAATAACTACGAAGTCCTTCCACAGTCAGTCTCTGTCATTGTCAAAGTCAATTTCAGGCTGCTGTGGTAATTCCTGAGGGTAATCAATAAATCATGTCATCACCTTCACCCCTCACAAAGGGGGGTGGGTGGAGAGAAGGCACTTCATCATCAAGGAAAGAGCATTCCCACTGCCAGAAATGAAAGGGGAAATGCAGCAATCAATCCTGTAATCTGAAGCCTTAAAACTTAAACATCTTAACAAGATGTAAAGTCACGACTCAGGAGGGGGCCGAAATGCATGCCAATACAGAGCCCGCTCGCTGTGGCTCACTGGAGGATGAAAGAACTCCACAGCTTCGCCTTATTATAGTACAGAACCGGCTTTCAGTGCAGGCTCCTCGCTCACTGCAGGATGCTGGCGTATGAATATGAGTTAGAGATAAAAGTTAAGTGGTGGTTGGTGCTACAGATTCAGTAGCACAGAAGGTTTTTGGGTTTTTTTAATGCTATTAGCTGGTGAGGAATTCCTATAAGTCAAAGCCGTTTTTTCTTAATTTCTCTTAGAATAATAACACAGGAGACACAGAAGATGTCATGTGGAGAAAGGGGGAGAGAGAGAAAGGGGTGGATACCTTTTCCTCTGAGCAGCTAGAAGCTGTCTGTGATGGAAATGTCTCTAGTGCTTCAGGGAGGCGGATAATTTCTTACCCGTGGGTATATGGTAGCGGCAGTGAACGCTTGAATGCGGCTAGGAACCAGTGAGGATTTGTGTAGTTCATCCCTTCTCTTAAAATATTTCAGGACAGAGAAAAAACATATTCTTTCCCAAAGAATGACTGAAATAACTGGTGTCCCGGGAACCTTGTAAGTCAGAGTGCTTTGAAACGTCCACATCTGTTGATTTCAATAGTAACATCCTTGACTCTAAGAAGGAAATTTCACTTTTGGATTTCTCATAACCAGACTGCATATCTGTTTTATAATTAACTTTTCCTGACAAGGAATCCTAATTAGTGCTATCACTCTCCCCTCCTTAGATGTGGAAAAATCATTACCAAAAAGAAGAGTAATCCACTTGCTTGGGGAGAAAACCGCTTGTGTGTCAGCTGCTGTGTCCGATGAGTCTGTGGCAGGAGACAGTGGGGTCTATGAAGCTTTCGTGAAACAGTAAGGACTCAGCAGGGTGCTCTTAGCTATACCATGTTTCCTCAGAGCCGCGCATGTGGGTCATATACTGCAAATGTACTCCTCCATTAATCTGCTCTCTGGAAAAGTACAGACTTTAGCTGTTAAAGAAATGGGGTCTCATCAGCCACGGAAATGATAAATAGATGGGTGTACTCAGAGGCAACTGACCCTCTTTAAGGCTAAGAAACTTGACTTTAGTGGGAATGTTGGACTGATTCACCAGTGCCTGTTTGGCATATGAAGCTTCTTGTGTATTTCTGATAGCCTGGAATGTCTCTGGGGTGTGGTGTACCCTAGTAAAGCTCAAGAAAGTCAGACATCAGAAAGTCTTTGCCCTGAAGCTCATTGGCAGACTCTTCTTGAAAACGTGAAGAAGTCCTCTAAAGCAGTGAACTTTCCCTGGGATCAGTTCCACTGGGATGATACCGGACTGCTGTTCATTCAGGTGTTCGTTCAGAGCCATTAAGTGGCAAACGGTAACCATAACATCGCCATGCCCACTAATGACCTGTCCACCTTCTCCCTGTCTGCAGGCCTAGTGAAATGGAAGACGTCACCTACGGTGAAGAGGATGTTGCCATTGTGGAGACGGCCCAGGTTCAGATAGGACTCAGGTAAAGGAAGGTGCATGGGGGGAAGAGGCAGTTTCAGACGTCTGTGCAGTGGCAAGTGGCCTGTGGCTCTTCCTGACTCCGTTCAGCTTTTCTTTTGACAGATACGATGCAAAAAGTTCAAGTTTCATGGTGATTATAGCACAGCTCCGAAATCTTCATGCCTTCTTGATACCTCATACTTCAAAAGTGTAAGTAAAATCAGTGGAGATCAAATTGAGGAACTTAAAAATGTCCGGCTAATTTTATATTGTAATCAAGCAGTTGACCAAAATGGAGATATGGAAAAGACATAGCAGGGATGCTCATGTCTAAATCGATGATAGATAAAGTTGAAGAGAAAAGGAAAATGTGAGAAAGGCATATTGGATTTTAGTTGTTATTCACTGATATATTATTAAGAATAGAAGCCAAGACCTTTATCTTCTTTTTGCTTTCAGAAATTCTGTTTTATGCTGTGTTGGGACCTGATTGTTTGAAATATGATTAAAATTTTTGTCATCGTTTAATAGTTACAACTATTGATTTGAAGAATTTTCTAATCTTTTATAAGAAAATGGTGATGACATTTTATTATTCAGTACAGCAATGCCAGTCAAACATTTTATCATGCGACGTGAAAGAGTATGTTTTTATCATCAAGCATTTACTTCCCAGGGATCAGTATTTTCTTAAAGTTGTTTCATTTAAGTTATTTTACTTCATCAAATCAAGAAGACAAACAAAGTGATGGCTTTAATGGTATACAGTCCAGTGCTTAGAGATTGTTTCTACCATTCACACTTTCTGGTGTCGAGAGTTCAGTGACTCTTAAGGCCTCATGGCCGAAAGAAGCCAGATTTCAGCTTGGCACCTCTGACTTAGAATCCAGAATGTATATGTCCATTCTGTAGTTAAACTTCCTGTAAGAAGTGAATCTTAATAGTGTTCTGCATATGCAGTGCAAGAGCTTGGAAATTAACAAAAGCTATTGAGGGATGATCCCCAAGACTATACTCAGCCCAGTGAATGTTTTCCCTGATGATGGAGTGTATTTCTCAACGAGGACTTTCAATACTTTCAGTTTCACATCCTGACATTCAAAGAGTTGCCAGAAAGAAGAAAGTGGATCTAAGAGGAAAAGAGCTAGATGGAGATTGTTTAATAGGCAGTAGAAGAATAGAGATAGTGGATGTCTATGTGTTGACAGGTATCAAAGCTGAAGGGGGATAGGGCTCCAGGAGAAGGGTGGGCTCAGAGGACTTCCTGAAATCAAACCTCATTTTAGACTAGTAAAGAGAGCAGGCATAATGTGGGAGCACCTGGGCTGTCACAGAGAGTCTGCTTCCCAGGCCTGAGACTGAAAATAGCAGTCAATGGTGTTCAGAAAAGGCTGGCTAGCTAATGTCATGTGACTTCTCCCTACCAATAAATATGCTGTGATGTTGGAGCATGCTGTTGGTAGCCTCTTAGTAAGGCAGATCAGGGAGAAGACAGGTCTATCCAAGATTGAATCTGTGTGAGAACCAATTTGCGTGTCCAGAGACCATCGCCCCAAGAACATATACTTTCTTGAAGCTAATAGTGTAAGGTTGCACTTACCCAATGCTCTACTTCAAATAAACCCTTTGAGGTCCTTTTCACTCACCTCCTGGGAAGTCACAGAGTACCCTCTGGAGGTATGACGGTACCCAGGGTAGTTTAGACCAATGGTAGTACCCTGCTCAGCTGGTGAACTCCACAGCTGGTGTGCAATTACTTGTCAGGTTGGTCTGAACTTTCCTGACACCTACAGCAACCTTGTCTTAAACCCATATATAGAAGCCTTGGCCTAAATACTGGCACTGCTAACAGTGACAACTAGTATGAAGTATTCTTAAAATAGTTCTTTTTTCTTGCAACTTCAAAACTTATTTTTGATTCTTAATTGTGGCAAGCAGCATTTATGCTTCCGCGGGTTGACAGCAGCCACCGTTTTTCTGAGTGGCTCATGGCTTGCTCAACTCTAGTTTGGAGAGACCCCGTATACCCCGACTCTTACAGCAGAACGAGAAGAAAAGCACCCCAGCTTTCTTTCCCTTATGCCTCTGGCTCTTAACCATGTAACATCTCAGTTTTTAATGTGTAAACATTTTAAAATCCCTTAAGTGGTTAGACCTCTGGTACTGAGTAACACTGAAGCCTGGAGAAAATAAAGATTCTTTCCCTCCATTCTGACTCTCTAATACACTTCTTTATCACTTTTCCAAGAAGGCAGAGAAAAATTTTCTTCTGCCGAATCGTTAGCCTCCCAGGGAGAGTGATCTGTCTTAGTAACCAAACCTCTTAAATCAACAGCTGTGACCCAAGGCCCAGGAGGTTTTTCGTGCTGAATTTTCATAATGAATGTTGATATGAAATACAGAGTAATATGGCATTCCTCCATTCTGCGTTTGAATTTACAGCTTTTCTGATGGGGTAAAGGCACATTGCAGAATGTTAGGCAGACAAACTAGAAATGGGGGAAGAGTGGGGTCATTCAGTGGGTATTCTCTTTCTGAGGTTTAAAGGAAAATACCTGGTGCTGTTTCCAGGCACTGTGAGTCCTCATAGAATGTGTCCTCAGAAAATTTACTTCAAAGTAGTATTAGAAGTTACTGCTTTTCTGTAATGCTCCTCTGAATTTTACCAAACATGAGAGTCTTTTAAAGCAGTCTGTCATATCTGAGACTTTGGAGATGCTAGACAGTGATATTTTTGAACTGTTATTTCATCTGTTTTAAATTTCTTAACAATACGCTACTTAGCTTTTCTTTTTCTCTAGTAGGATAATGTATTCCATTCCTGAGAAGTGATCATCAGCATCTCTTGTTTAATACTCAGGATGAGGATTCTGTGGGATAAAGTCACCAGTATCTCCTTAGTGTGTTCCTACCTCCCCAGGCTCAGAAATAACTTATTTTGGAATTGGCTGTGCATGGGGCAGGTGGGACGTTGACTCGTCTGCCCCACGGACTTTCCTCCTCTTCACTTTCTGTCATGTGCCTTTGCTGCAGTCCCGTGGTGAGTGGCAGGCTGGGCCATTGCATGCTCAGGGCACAGTCAGCACGGGGGGGTTGAGGACAGAGCATCTATGCGGCTGAGCAGGGACCCTTGTGGCCGCAGTGCTGTAGGCTGATGATGGACTCCATGTTTCCTCATTTTCTCTCTCCTGCAGATAAATTCAAATGATAGCTGTGGATCTGGCAACTGAAGCACCTAGGAAATCCGTTTTATTCTTGTTCTTTGCAGATATTTTAGGGTTGCTGTACTTCCTTCCTCAACTGATGTCTGCTGTCTCTTTCGAACAAAAGTCCATCCGCCCACAGAATCCATTGTATTCAATGATGTGTTCCGAGTGGTCATTTCCCAAACAGCCTTACAACAGAAGACACTAAGAGTAGATCTTTGCTCCGTCAGTAAACATCGAAGGGAAGAATGCCTGGTAGGATTCTTCATAGTTGTCATTATCAAATAACACTTAGGATTGGATATTCTAATTGCTGTTTAGCCAGCTCTAAAACTACTAATCTACACATCTAATATTTACTTCATTTTTTTCTGAAATGGTGATGTCTATTCATTCTCTCATTCCAGACTTTTTTAAAAAATTTATTTCTTTATTATAAAGATGTGGGGTACAATTAAGTGCTAAGATATTGACTGATCCTGCAGGAACTGATCATGCAGGAACCCTTGTTGATGAGGTATGCCCCTCCCTCCCCTAGCAGTTTCCCTCAACTGCCAGTCCCACCCCCACTCCCCTGACAGTTTTCCACTACTGCCAGTCGCTTTCTTACTGCATTATAATTGTTCAAGGTCACCTTATGAGTGAGAACATATGGAACTCAGTTCTTTGTTTCTGCGATAAATCACTGAGTACGATCGACTCTTATAAATTACTTTTTATGAAAGCTACTTCCCATTTCTACCCTTTAACTGCAGAAGATCCTTTACCCCTGTTATGACTGTCACTTATGGAGTGTGCTTATCACTCCCATGCCAAGTCTTGTACTGAGTGCTCTGTGTGTATTATCTCATTTAATCCTTATGACAACCTTACGAAAGATTGAGTATGAACAGGATGATTATCTGCTATTTTCAGATAAAGAGCTGCATAGAGGTAATATATCCAGGGTCTCACAGCTAGTGAATGAGGGCGCCAGATATCAAAAAGACATCCCCACATAATTCACTGTTACAAATTAAAACTAAGCAAGACACTGAGAACTGTATGGTTCCTTAACTTAGCTCATTTGCCTCTGCCATGGTCTTGGAGCTTCTGGGAAGACACAGTGATACTGTTCAGGACAATATGATATGTATGTGCTACAGCAGAAGACCAGAAAACGATTATATCCTGGTCAAGTTACATAGGTGTTCAAATGCAGGCATCTAGAGGAGTGCCTGCATATTCAAAAAGCAACATGGGTCTCCAGTAGAGCTTTTCTCTGCAGTCACATGGGAAGCTCAGAAACACACAGTTTTCACAATGAACAGAGTTTAAGAGGGTGATAGGTTTCCTCTTAATTCCTTGTTTTCTTTACTTGAAAAAGAATTGCCTGACAATAAAGTTAGAAGCAAAGACCAAAGACTTGTTAGACTACGAGAAAAGCTTTAGCATAATAGATGTCATGTTTAGTATATGTCAGAAGCTCCAATAAAGGTAGTATGTTCACTGATAACCTTTAAAAAATAGTATATTTTAATTTAGATGTTGACTTTGTGTGATTTGGTAGAACATGAGAGCTTTTAACCTTTCCTTTTTTTGCCATTCTACTAATTTATGTATCTCAAGAAAAGTGTTGCTATCTGATTCTTATTCAAGAATGAAAGTGGCATTTTTGTTTTTCAGTAGATAATGGATTGTTTGTGAGCAATAATTAAGTCACCCTTACAGCCTATTATGAGAAATACTACAGTTTAGGCTTAGTGACTTATTTATTTATTTTTATTTTTTACTTTTTATTTAAAAATAATTTCATATTTACAAAAAAGTTGCATGCTTAGTCATTAGGTGTTAGCAAAATAGTATCTCACAAAATTATCCTGTGATTAGCTTTTAGACTGGGAATTATTTCGTCTTTAGTCACAGCTGAAAATATAAGATATCCCTGTGTTTTAAAAAATTCACCAATGCTTTATATTATGAATATTGAACAAGCTAATTCAATAATCTTCATTACAGCAGAGGGAACCGATACTAATGTAAGCATTTTATTTTTCTCTTCTATATTTTCTGTTTTCTTTCATTTACATAGGCTGGAACCCAAATCAGCTTGGCAGATTTGCCATTTTCTAATGAAGTGTTCACTCTATGGTATAACTTGCTTCCTTCCAAGCAAATACCCTGCAGGAAGAATGAAGAGGAAAATGAGGACTCCGTCTCTCCACCAAGCCAGCCGTTCGTGGATGCTGTGGACCTGGTGAGTCAAAATTAGAGAACAAAGTCATTAACGTTCAACAGGGTCGTCTGAAATATAATGCTGTGAGACCAACATGTTTTTAAGCACTTCCGCTCCCCTTCCTTCTCTCTTTGTAGAGCTTCATCCTTTTCTCCCAACTTCCTAAAAAACAAAAAGAGAAAAGAAAGATAATGTATAGCTTTATTTCAAATATGGTTTATAACAGGATCAGTCTTTACTGTTCACATTTATAAAAATAAACTGATGTGGAGGCTGCATTGTCTTAAGTGATTGTGGAAAACCTTTTGGTTTAAATTTATACTTTTGCACATTGTGTTTTGTTTGGCTCCACTGTCAGGTTACATGTTTGGTACTCGTATATTTTGCAAACTTGAAATTATTAAACCTAAGCAGTGTGGGTTTTGATGTGTAACATCAACAACCATAAGTATTTTCTATTAAAAAGTTGTTTGTTACCAACAGTCATACCTGAATACAGTACTTCAAAAAATTTACCAAGTGGCCTTTGTGAGACCATTTATCACCGATTTGGCATTTGTGGATATTGTTACTGAGTTCAAGTTTATTTTAGAGGATCTATGAGGAAAGAGTTTACGAAGCAGAAGTCAGATAATTTAAGCAACAGTGCTTTATCAGTCTACTGTGTGTAAGAAGCTGTGGTGGGTATTGTGGTAGGTGTGAAAGGGAAACAAACATGATGGCACAGCTTATGTTACATGCCCAGGCTTGTGCTAGACATTAGGTAAAGCATACAGGATGGTAAAATAGGATTTTTATCTTGAAGTATGCTTTTTTAATGGTCACACTTCAAGTTTTTAAAAATTGCCTTATTGCAGTATAGCTTATATATCATGCAATGTATGCATTTAAAGTATACAGTTTACCCATTTGAAGCACCCAACTCAGTGGATTTTAGTGCATTCACAGAGTTGTACAATCATCACTGCAATCTAAAGCGAGAACATCGTCACCATTCCCAAAAGACTCCCTGTCCCCATGAGCAGTCTCTCCCAGTTCTCCCGACCTCACCTCTTTCCCCCAAGGTGACCAGTAATCTTTCTGTCTCTGCCAATTTCCTTATTCTGGAGATTTCATGTAAGGAAAATAATACGATACTTGTTCTTTTGTGACTGGCTTATTTCATTTAGCTTCATATTTTTAAGGCATAGCTATGATGTGGCAGTATTAGTATTTCATTCCTTTTTATTCACAGATAACATTCTGTTGTGGATGTACCACATTTTAAAAATCTGTTTATCAGCTGATGTGCATTTGAGTTGATTCTACCTTTTGACTATTACGAAAAATGCTGCTATGAACATTTGTATACATTTTGTGGACATGTGTTTTCACTCTTTTGAGTATATACATATGAGTGGAATTGCTGGGTTATATATTAACTCTATGTTTAACATTTTAAGGAACAGCCAAACTGTCTAGTAAAGTGTATGCACCAATTAACATTCCCTACCAGCAGTGTGTGAGGGTTCCAATTTCTCCTCACTCTTGCTATGTGTTATCTTTCTGATTCTTGCCATCTCAGTGGGCATGAAGTGGTATTTCGTTGTGGTTTTGATTCACATTTCTGTAATTACACATGATGTTGGTGTTTTGGATTAATCAAGTGCTATTAAAATTTTATTTTCCCCTCTACTAAATTATTAGCAATACAGTCTTTTATTTTTGCAGTTTTCCTGGAGATTTTAGCATGAATTCTTAACTTACTAGAAACTGCCTCAAGTTAATCTCTCTACTCTTTCCCAGACAATGCAGAGATTTTAAAAGACTTTGCCTCCATTTATTCCCTTTCCTCCTTCTGTGCTATTATCGTCATGTCATTTTGAATCTCACAAGATATTATTACTGCTTTATTGACAATCAGTATTAATTTAGATTTCCTTCCATCTTTCCCCTTTCTGGTATATTTTATTCCTTTCTGCATTATTGTGCTTTCATTCAAGTAATTTTCTTTCTGCTTGAAGAATTTTCTTTACTACTTCTCTCAGTACAGTCCTGTTGGTATCTATTGCAACCTCATTTGTGAAGGATAGTTTTTTTGCTGCATATTCAGAATTCTGAGCAGGCTGTTATTAATATGAACACATTAAAGATGTCACTTTGTTGTAGTCTAGGTTTCTGTTGATTCTGTTGAGCCGTTGGAGGACAATCTGTTGATTCTTATAGCATCTTTTCTCTTTCTTTGCTTGTAAAATTTCCTCTTTTTCTTTGTCAGCAATTTCATTCTGACACACTCATGTGACTTTCTTTGTGTTTATACTAGTGAAATTCTTTATCATTTCATTTGGTTTTTTGAGCAATTTTTACTGGTAAAAATTTAAATTTTTTTTCTCTAAATACTTGTAGTGTATGGATCACCTGGTGTAGGTCTACTTTTTTTGTCTATTGTTTGTCTTGGCTTTCAGTTGTTAGGCTCTTATGGAATGCTGGATATCATATATGAAGGTTTCTGGCTGATATCTTCCTCTAGAGAGGATTTAATATTCTTCTGAAAGGCAAGTTACAACATAGGTAGATACCTGAATTTGTTTTTCTCTCCTTAGGACCATATGAAGCAACTGAAATATCTACTTACTATTTTAGCCTCCTAGCAGTTGTTGGGGTTTTTTTTGTTTTGTTTTTGTTTTCTGTTTTCTTGCTTTTCCTCTGCACATAGGCAATTTTTGGAATTGCAAATGCCTTGACAGGAATACCAGGCAGAATATTAGGCTCACTTGATAGTTTTTCCTAGCCCCGTGTATGCCGACTGCCTTGGTGGTCCTGAATTCAGTCTTAGGCTTTCCATCCTGCTGCCACTGCCGCAGTCTGTTTAGTCTGTGTTCCTTACTGCTAGCACTGACGAACGCCCTAAGGGAAAAGTGGCAGTGACTTCACCTTTTTGATTTCTCTTCTCACTGGGATGTTGGCCCACTAGTCTTCATTGCTTTTTGTTGCTCTTCACTATTTTACAACGTCTGAGAGTTTTCATTTGTTCTTTTTGTTTTCTTTCATTCAGCGTTTTTCTCATCAGCTTTGTTCTCAGCAGGAGAGTTGGACCTGGTAGCAACCTTTTTCACTGCTGGAAGTATAAATCCCTATCTGATACATTTTAAAATAATTTCTCCAAGTATATGATGTTAATTGCCGTATGTTTGACATTCTCCAGGATGCAGTATCAGCCTTACTTGCAAGAACATCAGCTGAGTTGTTGGCTGTGGAACAAGAATTAGCACAAGAAGAGGAACCAGGGAAAGAAGAGCAAAGGGGTCCAGATGGAGATTGGTAAACAGTTATTCCTTTTGGGTACTCAAAGAAGATGTGTTTAGTTTCCCAGAAGAAACATACAGTAAAAATCTTTATAAGTTCATATTTTGGAAAGCAGGCAGTGTGGCTTTTGGAATTTTGGAAAGCAGGCAGTGTGGCTTCGGGGTGCTATGGCTAGGGAGAAACTCTTTCCTTGGTCATTTGAGAAGGAGGTGATGGCAAGATCATGGGCAGAATTAACACATTAGCCAGATTCTTTGTTTTGTTTCTAGTACTTTTTCAACACTATCTTATGAGTTTTTTTTTTAGTCTAAACAATTGATTTTGAAATATATGTATGGTAGCTTATTCCATAGCCATAGATAAGTTTAAAAGTGACTCTAAGAAACTACCCAGGGGTATCATTTAGATGGTGGTAAGATAAAGCAGATATTTAGAAAACAACTTCTGAATAGTCACTTCTTGTGTATAACCACTTTCACCTTCTTCTTTTTCTGTTTCCATACCCTGTCCTTTCCAGAAAAGGGGGAAAGGGTAGGTTATGATAGCTTTTTGTCCAGATTCATGTATATATAAAGAGCTATCTTTCCTGATCTGTACTGTTTTCTCTCAAAATAAATTTTGTGGGTGCTTCAGTTTTTGAGTATACATATAAAATCATTTAGGTTAAGTTTTTATGTAGAGTTACTTACACTGTTGTGTGTGGTTGAACTCCTACTGTTAACACATATGTGCATATACATTTATAGCATGTATTTGTGTGTATGTCTGTATATATAAAACGTTTTTGGAACTCAGCATGGCAAGGTATATCATAAGTAGCACAGTCATGAACATTTGGAAGGAAGAGCTGCTACAGTGATGTAAAAAGATAGATATACTTTGTGCTTATCGAAAGTCCTTTATAGTGAATAAAAATCAAAACACTGCAAAAACAAGTATGTGAGTGATTATAAGGTTTATCATAAAATCTTTAAATACTAAGCTTGTCTCATATATGTAAAATACAGTTTGTTTCACACATTTATCAAAAAATTATACTCAGTTGTAAATAAAGGAATTGATAACTCATAGTAGTCATCGCTGACTCCCCTTGTGTTCATTTCAGGGCTAGACATTTACTACCTAGTCTTGGCTAATTTGTTAGTATGTTGCTGTTAAAGCTGTACATTTAGTTCTCAATGGAAAAATGTTTCCATTCTGAGAACATGAAACTCAAAACAGGGAGATGTTCTAAACCACCCTAGCACTCCTGCTTTACTTATTCTGTATAAACTGTGTTTATATTCTGGAACACCACTTGTGATGCCACCCAAGCATGCCATGGCTTTTGTTAAAGTGAGATTATATGGCATTACAAGTCTTCCACTACTTTTGTAGTAAAACTCCCTTTACACAGAGCTCTCCCTGTTGGACTATGGACATACTCAATGAAATGTGTATTTTAAATCCTTATATCTTTATTCATCCTTAGTTGAGAGTAACTTCATTCTGTTACGTTGTTCATTTTACAATAAATGAACAACTAATATCAAATTATTTTATAGTGAGTGTCAATATCTTTAAATGCTGGGATTGAACGTTATATATGATTTTCTGAATATTTCTATTTTAATATTAGGTTAAATTTCATAAGTTTAACGTTTTGATACCACATTATGGTGATTTTGCTATAGGTTTTTAAAGAGTAAAATGAGAATTTTTTTTTTATGAGGCATTTATGTCAAAGAAATGGCTTGGATCATTATGTGTGAGTCTGTTGTTTATTTCCCAGATAACAGGTTAGTATGCATAGGTACCCTGTTTATGGAGCAAGCCTGCTTGACCAGAAGTATGTTTGTTTTGGTTTTGGTTTATCTCTCTATAGGTTAACAATGCTAAGAGAGGCCTCTGATGAAATTGTGGCTGGAAAAAAAGAGGCTGAAATTAACTTGCCAGAGAACAGTGGCTGCACAGAAGACTTAGGGTCACATACTAGTGTGCCTGAAAAGGGCAAAGATAAAAGCAGGAGGGAAAACGACTGTGCCAAAGACCTCAGAAGTCAGCCATCTGCTGGAGTACCCACCCTGGTGAGTATCTACTGTGCTCTCCTAAAGCTCACATGCTACAGGAATTGTGGAGACTAGGGAGATATCTCTTATTTGTCTTTTAGGGTGTAATTTCACATTAGGCTTTTGTGCCAAAAACTATCTTGAAAGGTACTTGTGGGAATAAACTCTTCAGAGGTATCGTACGTACATGTTTTAAAATTGTTAAATATTACCACAAGTCAGACTAGGAAAAAACAATAAAAATTTTTAAATGGGCCCCAAACAATAATTCTCCACTTCTACTTGATATAAGAGAAATAATTCTAGCTACCTTAGATCTCTGCAAACATTCTGTGAATATTTACCAAAAGTATTTTCTGAATTTCTTGGATAACAACAGTGTGACTGCTTAATTATAACAAATTTCATATATAGAGTAAGTTTATTTCAATTTCAGATATGAAGTAAACATTTAAAGTTCATTTTGGTTAGATGGTATTCTGATTGAAATCACCTCTGGAAGCTGGCAGAATCACTCGGTGTAGGCCCAGGTGCCAACCAAGTTATTACACAGGTAGCTTTGGTAGTAAATGAGAGATGTGTTGCAACTGCCATCTCAAATGGGGAAAAATATTTTCAAGCTTTGAGGATGCTCGCATACTTGGGATATTGGTAATAGAGTTTAAACAATTCTAATTCTTTACCCCTGAGAAAATATTATACCCTGACTGAGGACCTCTTATTATGAAGGAGCAAGCTTTCACCAAGAGGCAGGCTTAGAATCAGGTGATACCTATGAGATAAAAAGCAGACATCTGCCTGTGCCTACTGAGTTTGTATTTTGAGAAACTTCCATTTTTAATTAAATTTTATTTTTATGACATTTCCAGAGATCCAATCAAATTCCAAACTTGCTTCACAAAAGTTGTTATATGTTCATATTTGTATCATTACATATTCTATTTAAATCCACAACTTTGTGGTGTATTTCTTCTTATATTTAATTATTTTTATCATTTATTAAAAACTCATCAAAAAGTTGAGTAGAATTTAATGATGATATATTCCCAAATAGGATTCATTATAGAACCTCTTTAAATCTAAACCTCCATTTTCATGTCTAACCCATTAGAGGTGGCACCTCTATTTTTGGGTGACCTTATGAGACTCATAGGACCCTACCTGTTATGCAGGGAAAACCATTCTCCTCAGTTTCCCTTCAGAAGTGCTGTGCTCTGGAACACGAAGCCTTTTTCTCAGGAGTAGCCTAGTGCTTGATGAGTCTCTGTTGTGACATTTATTTCCTTCTTACTTAGAAGAAAGGAACAAAAATGTATACACATCTGTCTGCTTCTGACAAATTACTAACTTCTCTTGTAGGTTGATAAAGAGACAAATACTGATGAAGCAGCTAATGACAGCATGGCAGTTCGCCCCAAAGACCGCAGCAGCCTGAGCTCTCGACAGCATCCCTTTGTGAGAAGCAGCGTGATTGTGCGCTCTCAGACCTTCTCTCCAGGAGAGCGGAACCAGTACATCTGCAGGGTGAGGTGACCGCACTCGCCAGGAAGGAGGCACTGGGACCACATGCTCTTCCCTTCCTGCTAGTGGGTGGGCCGCTAAGGACAAGAGAGTACACACTGGGAATCTTCAGATTCTGACTACAAATACTAATGGCGAGAAATGCTATAAAATATATGGAGGTGCTCATTAAATTTCCACCAAATTTAATGTCTTATTGTCTCTAATGTGATTCTTTGGCAAGTCAGTGAAGTTTAAGAATTTGGGTGCTAAGTGCACATATGTGGACTTCAGTCTATATTTAGAAACAGTGACTTAAGATATTTATTTTATGTATTTCTGCTCTGTATCATACATACCTGCCTCAGACTTTGTTAGTGTTGCTGAAATGAAAATTGTGAATTGAGTTTTAGAGCAAAAATTGTCCCTTAATACTGTGTCTAGATACTGAATCAGATTCATAGTTCTGTGAAGAAAATTGTGGGATTTGTATCAATTTACCAAATTCTACTTCTAGAACTGTTTATGATTTATATAGTATGATAGATTTAGTATTATAAAATGAGTTAGAAATACTTTAAAATTCTGAACTTATTCATTCAGTTCAATAATTATTTTTATTAAGCATCTGCTGTCAACTCCTTTCCTAGATACTTGGGATTCATGCAGAAACAAAAGAAACTCAAGAGCTCTGTTCTTGCAAAGCTTAAATTCTTGTGTCTCGAGCCAGACCATACCAGTAAATACGATGAATATGTTGTGAAGTATCCTGGGTAGGGATCAGTGCTATGGAAAATGATGGGGCATGTTAAGAGGTTAGGAGTTATACGGAGAGCTCAGAGCAGGCTTCATTGATTAGGGGGCTTTTTGTGAGAGACCCGAAGCAGTTGAGAGGGTAGGTGTGGCCTGTCTGGGCTAAGAGCATTCTAGACAGTACAGAATGTGCTTTAAGTCTGACCTTGAGCTCTATACTTTATGCAAACCTTTTTTTTGAGTTGGAGTCTCACTCTGTCTGCAAACCTCTCTCTTTTTTTGAGTTAGAGTCTCACTTTCTGCCCAGGCTGTGTGTGCCCAGGGTAGAGTGCAGTGACACACTCACGGCCACCCCAGCGTCAACCTGCTGGGCTCCGGCGATCCTTCCACCTCAGCCTTCCAAGTAGCTGGAACCACAGGTGTGCGCTACCACACCCAGCTAATTTTTTTGATTTATTGTAGAGACAAGGTCTCAGCAAGTTGCCTGGGCTGGTCTTGAACCCATGAGCTCAGGAAATCCTCACACCTCTGCCTCCCAAAGTGCTGGGATTACAGGCTGAGCCACCGAACCTGGCCATAAACCTTTCTTTAAAATGACGAATCTCACCTATTAGCTAAAAATGTAAAAGATAATCTTATTTTTTTTAATATAATTATCTTAATATATGATTAACTGCTACTAAATGACAGTTGTTTAAATTATTTAAGAGAATGAAGCTACTTAATAGAATAGGAAAAACACTTGTTTGGGAAGATTTTCTTAAAAGAAATAAACTCTTATTATCATTGCCTGCTTTATTGGGTATACATCTCAGTTCCAGACTTCCACTTGTACTCTGTTCTTCACTGATTTCTTTTTTAAAATCTTTTATTGCCAGTTAAATCGGAGTGACAGTGACAGTTCAACCCTGGCTAAAAAATCACTGTTTGTGAGAAACTCCACTGAACGGCGCAGTTTGAGGGTCAAACGGGTATGTATTTCCTCATCTACATCCCACTGTCCTGGACGATTCCAGAACCAGGATATGTGGAGCATAGATTCCAGAAATGTGGAGTGTCAATGCTCCATGCTCTTGGGCTGCTGAATTAAACCACATAGAGATGCAGATGTCATGGCAGTTAGAGAGACAGAGGGGCTGGGCAGGAGATGCCCACTCATCACGAGAATGGAACCTGGGATCGTGAGAGCAGAAAGTTTTGTCTGCCATGTTTCGGGAAAAGAGGCCCGCTGAGCCCACAGGGCTCTCAAACTCCGGGTTGAACTTTTCTAACGATGCTAACATGGCACCACACCGTGGATGTGTCATGAGCACTGGCGGGAAGTGTGCAAGCCTGGTACCTCTTCTGAAGGAGCACACATTCTGATAAAGGAGGAACACATGGTGTTACAACTTGCTTAAGCAGATATTTTGAAAAGGTTCACATTAATGTGGGTGGACAGCATAGGTAAAGTTTTCTTGGAGGCTAGAGTTCTCTGGAGGATCTCTGAGGATAAGTCTGAGAGAATATTTAAATGAATTAGCAACTTGAACTTTCCAAGTAGTTCAGACATTCCTGTTTACTTACTAACAGCTGAAATACTAAAGGAAAGTTGTTTGCTGTGCTCACTTTGGCAAGCATAGTATGAACAAGGCACTGTGTCAGTGTGCCAAGCTGTTGATGGCGAGGTCACGCCCAGGACCCCACAGTCTAGAGGAGGACTGCAGGTGCACACCGGACTATTAAAACCCTACTGAATAAGAGGGTGGGTGGGCTCATCTGGTCAGGATAGTCAGAAAGGCTCCATGGGGAGGTCTGCAGCCTTGACACATGAAGAGAATCTCTAAAGAAAATGGTAGCTTTGAGTGGTGTGGAGCGGGTGATGGTTGCCAGGTTCTGTGGGCAGGTGGCATGAAATGATACCTGAAGGAAAACACAGGGTGAGGTGTATCTTGCTCGGCTCGAGCTTTGGCACTGTTGACCTACTGGAAAGTAGGTCAGCAGCATCGTCGCTAACCCCGCTGCAGTCTTACGTACCACGTACAGAGTCTGGGGGGCCAGCTAGGCAGCATTTGACTCCCTGACAAGTCATAAAAGCACTCCTTTTTTCCTGTAAAGTAGAGGTGCTGGCGTCTCTGTAGCATTCGGTATTTTCAGGAAATACTGAGATGCAGAACTCTGAGGTGACCAGACTTGATGCTTACAAGCACCTGTGTTTCCATCATCTTGACGAAAATTCTCTTCCGCTCACCTCACCCTGTGTTCTCCTTCAGGTATCATTTCGTGCCACCTGCCCGCAGAACCTGGTATCCATCACCCCTCCGCGCCTCTCAAAGCTACCATTTTCTTTGGAGAGTCTAGCCATGTGTCAAGGCTGCAGACCTGCCCCATGGAGCCTTTCTGCCTCTCCTGGCCCTTTGAGCCCACCCACCCTCTTACTCGGCACAGTTTTAACCGTCCAGTGCGCACCTGCGTCCCATTCTAGGCCTCCTGCCTTCTAAAGCAGCACGTGCTTCCAGTGGATGGTTCCGCTCTTCAGAGAACTGTTAACCAGAGTGTTTGTGACTTGAGTGGAGCTGAAAAACGGTTGGGTTACTGATAAACCCAGCTGCTAGAACTCCTTGAACCAAAGGTTAATCCTGAAGCACGTGTAGGAGACGGTTCAAGTACCAGTAGGGTTTGATAGGAACGAGTGGGGTCTGGCGTTCTGATTTAGGAATTAGAGCATGGAGAGGGGGTGGAGGAGTAAGAGGACAAAAGCGTCCCGCAAAAATCGATGACAGGCTTGCCTGCACGGAAATGTGAGTGCCGGCTGCTGCGTGAGGGCAGAGGGTGCCCACTGGCAGTGAGGTCCTGGGCCCTACTCACACCGGCTCTTCTTGATTCCGTGCACGTGGGGTCCTTAGAATGGCCGCAAGCGAATAGTGATTAGGAGAGATTTCTGATTCTTAAAGAAGAGTAGTACAGTCAAAGAGAATGTGTGCCGAGATAATTCTTACTGTGGAGTGCTTCAGTAGAGAAGGCAGAGGGTGGACAAAAGGAGTATAATGCTAAGAATATCGCAGAAGCCAAGGACCTGCATGTTGAGTGAGCATGTGGGGTGTCCTGGGCAGGAGGAAGAGGACTAGGAGGTGGCAGTAGAGCTTTCCGCCTTGGGCCAAGGCTGCGAGATCGGAAGAGCAGCAGACAGGCCTCTCCTTCCACGCTCCAGGTCTTCAAGCTCGAGGGCTTGTCGGGTTGATATCCCTCCTCGAGCCAGATGGTACCTGTTCTTACCTTGCATTCCTACTGCCAACAGTCCAGGCAAGAAATACCTCCCTGCTCCCCTCTGTTCATGCAGTCTTACCCAGCCCAGGTACGACTAGGCAGATTCTCTTCCTCAAGGGATTGTGCCCCAGCCTGAAGAACCTGCCCATTCCCTGACTTCCTGTGCACTCTGCACACTCAGTTGACTGCTGCTGGCTGTCTCATGCCATTCTGAAGCCCACATCTTCAAGGTCAGAGATTGTGTCCTCTTCCCAGTTTTTTGCTTCCAAACACTCAGCAGCATTTGGTCATACATGTTCCAGAATGATTGCTTAACAAATGGGTGAGATTGCCTCTGGGAAGAGCAGTGGTGATTCAGTGCTAAAAGTAGATGACACGCAATGGAAGATCAAGGAAGGAGCTGGAATTTAAGCACACGGATGAGTGGAGGAGTGAGCGTCTTGGCCATCGGCCAGCTGCACTCTGGCCCATGCTCACGGGTGTGGTGGAGGGAGGCCTGGCCTGGAATGGAGGAATGTCAAGTGCCTTACAGGTGTTTGTCATGCAGGGCAGACTTCGTGCAGTACATTGGCTAGGCTAAGTAAGTGAGGCTGCACTCTGGAAACAGCTTTAAAATCTCTGTGGTTTAGAACAGTGATGGTTTATTTCTTGCTGAGCTGCCGGCTCACTGCAGCTTGGCTGGACGCTGCTCTGTCCTGTTCTCACACGGGACCTGAGCTGCTGGAGCCTCCCTCTGTGGTTCCTCTCTGTCTCAGTTCTCGTGGGGAGAGGTGTGCAGATCTCACCCTGGCTTGGGCGGGCCTCTGCCATGGACCACCGTATGTCACTCAGCTGCTTACGCCCTCACTTCAGGGAGTGAGAAGTGTGGTCCCATCATGTGCCAGGAAGGCGGCAATGCAGAATTACCAAGTATGTTGTGTTGTTTTGTTTCTAACTATCCAGACTGTTTGCCAGCCAGTCCTTAGAAGAACAGCGCAAGAATGCCCAGTGCGCACATCTCTGGATTTAGAACTGGATCTACAGGCATCTCTGACCCGGCAGAGCCGCCTCAATGATGAACTGCAGGCACTGAGGGGCTTGCGGCAGAAGCTGGAGGAGCTGAAAGCTCAGGGAGAGACCGACCTGCCGCCAGGTGTGCTGGAGGACGAGCGGTTCCAGAGGCTCCTGAAACAAGCAGAGAAGCAGGTACGGAGCTCAGGGGCTCTGTTGTCTTAGAGGGGCTTCTGCAGAGTTCCTCTGTTTCAGTCCATGCTGGGCAGACAGTGCCCAACTGTCGCTCTGTTTGGCTCACAGAGATCTTTTTTCTAGAACTTGGAACACATCTTTCCTTCTTTTCTTTATCACCGAGAATATTAAGGGAGCGAGGTAGCAGGGGAAGTGGGTGTGATTTCTCAGCATTTTTCTCTATCTCAACATAAGACTCGGCAAATAAATACAGCATAAGTTTGAGTGTAAATGAAATATTTTGTTTGGATTTTCTACGGATAGCTTTTTAAGATTCATTAACCACATCAATTGTGAATACATTACTAATTTTAATGCTCCTATATTTTCACTTTCATTCTTACCTGCAAGAAAGGGTATACTTCACTTACTGGCATTCTCCTTTGTCTTTCACCCTACAACAACTATACAGAAAAATAAGATAAATCAATTCATTGAAAATAGGGTATTTTTTGCCAGGCGTGGTGGCTCATGCCTGTAATCCCAGCACGTTGGGAGGTTCAGGTGAGAGAATTGCTTGCGCCCAGGAGGTTGTGGCTACGGTGAGTCATGATCTCACCACTGCATTTCAGCCTGGGCAAGAGTGAGACCCTATCTCAAAAAAAGAAAAAAGGAAAAGAATATTTTTAAAGATCCATTGTTTGCCCATCTAAGTATTACTAACATTTTCAAGAATCTGCATACATATGAAATTAATTTAGTCTCTCTGGATTAGTCTCTCTGGATTATACTTTGATATAGGTGTGTGTGTGTGTTCATATCCAGATGTAGTAACAAATAGAATTTTTATATAGCTGATATATTACAAATGCTAAAACATTTTCTTTGGCGCCTTTGGATGGGAATCTAAAACAGATTAGATAGATCCTTTCTGAAACTTACAGAAAATCTTGGCTATGATATAAACTGTTCTTTTTGGCCCAAAGTTATTATTTGATCATGTGATCTATGGCGCTACAGGGGAAAGTTTGAGTCATTGTACTAACTAGCACTGTAAATCCTAGACGGAACTCAGAAACTAACTGAGCAAATTTCAAGACTCAAACTGGCACTGATAACGTTTTCTTTGAAAGTGAGAGTCTCACGCTGTCACCCAGACTGGAGTGCAGAGGCACCATCCTGACTCACCTCGGCCTCCACCTCCGGGGCCAACGGGATCCTTCTGCCTCAGCCTCTCCAGTAGCTGGGACTATAGCCCTTTCACCGTACCCAGCTAATGTAATTATTTGTTTGCTTGTTTCAGGGAGCTGAGGTCCCGCTGTGTTGCCCAACTCCTTGAACTCCTGGGCTTATGCGCTCCTCTTGCCTCAGCCTCCCAGAGTGCTAGGATTATAGGCATAAGCCACTGTGCATGACCAAAACCCATCATTTTTCAAGAAACGTTAAGCAACAAACGTGTTATGTATCTATATAATATCCACCTAATAGAAGAAACCTTTGTTAATAATAGACCTCAGTAAATGTTTGTTCATTGTGGCATTGAATGGTAGACGCTGTGTTTGACACTACAGTGAGTAGGAGGATAGTTAGACACTGGTGTGGTTTGGTAAAGGAGATGAGCCATACGCCAGGTTCACAAACGAAATCACTTCTTGAGGAGATCAGGGGAGGCTTCATGGAGGAGGAGGCACTTAAACTGGTTTTAAAGCGGGTAGTAGCACTTCATCCCTCGGGGACAAGAGGCCCAGCAAGGACAGGACCGTGCATCAGTCAGGTCCAGGTAGGCCTCAGACAATGAGGGGCCCATGCAGGAGCGTAGGGCCCCCAGCAGGCTGTCTTCTCACAAATGGAAGGTTGAGTCACTGGCTGCAGTGACCTTTAACCCCCGTAATAATAACCATAACTTTTACTCTTTTGGGTCTTTTAACTCAATGTCAGCAATAATTTCAAACTCTTGCTTGGCCTTGACCAATCTCATATCCTGGAGCAGCATCACAGTCTTTGACCCTTATAGGTCAAAAACTTTCAAAGCTGAGCTGGACTCTTACAACTATAGGTATAAACAGAACTTTGCATCTTTGGGTTTTTTGGTGGTTGGTTTTATTTCTAGTTTATCATGATATGAAATTCTAGGTCTCTAGATATCAGCAATTTAAAAAGCAATGGGACTTAATGTTTTCCACTTAGTATCCTAATGCTAAGATTCATCCATAAATTGCTTGTTATTGCAGTTTATTTGTTTTGACCACTATCTAATCTTTGTGTATAGAGAGAAGCTCATTAAAGCAAAAAGTTCTCTGGGAAGAAACAAACAAAAAAATAGAAAAAGTTCTGGCAAAATCAGTGAAGAGAAGAGACAAATATAGCCTGTTATAAAAGTAATGATGGGCTGAGCATACTGGCTCACACCTGTAATCCCAGCACTTTAGGAGGCTGAGGCAGGAAGATTGCTTGAGCCCAGGAGTTCAAGACCAGCCTGGGAAACAGAGCAAGATCTTGCCTCTACCAAAAATTTGAAAATGAGCCAAGTGTGGTGGTACCTGCCTGTGGTCCCAGCTAAGAGGATGGAAGATCACTTGAACCCAGGAGTTTGAGGTTGTGGTGAGTGTGATCATTCCAGTGCACTCCAGCCTGGGCAACAGAGTAAGCAACATACTGAAAAATAAGAAATAAAAAAACAAAAAGTGACGAGGGATGAATTTGTAGATAAATTTGAGATTTAAAAGATAATTGGATACTGTCAAATGTATATGCCCACAATTTGGAATTTATCTAGGAAAATGTAACATACCAGAACTGGTGTTTGAAAAGAAAAAAACTAGAGAATCCTGTAACTCTTAGAAAAATGGAAGCAGTGATTAAAAACCTGTCTACAAAGAAAAGATAAGGGCTAGATGTTTTATAGGTAAGTTTCACGAAACTTTTCAAAGAACAGATTATCTCAATTTTATACAAACCCTTCTAGACACTACAAAAAGAGAGAACATTCCACAATTCATTCTACGTAACCAGCCTTCCTAATACCAAAACTAGACAAAAACATTATCAAAAAGGAAAATGATAAGCCAGTTTTATTTATGAATGTAGATGCAAAAATCCTGACTGAAATATTAGTGCATAGAATCCAACACTATATTAAAACAATAATACACTGTGACCCTGTTGAAATGTATAAGGGTATTTTTAATATTAGAACAATCTAAGGCCAGGCACAGTGGCCTTAGATTTCTAAAATCTCAGCACTTTGGGAAACCAAGGTAGGAGGATTGCTTGAGCCCAGGAGTTCGAGTCCATCTTGGGGACAGCATAGCAAGGCCTCATCTCTATAAAAAGTCAAAAAAACTCAGCCAAGTGTGGTGGTGTGTTCCTGCTTGGGAGGCTGAGATGGAAAGTACACCTGAACTCAGGAGTTTGAACCTGCGGTGAACTATGATCATGCCACTGCACTTCAGCCTGGGTGACAGAGTAAGACCCTGACTCAAGAAAAGAGGGGAGGGGAGGGGAGAATTTATGAGTAAAATACATCACTGTAACAGATGAAGAACAACCATTTGATCAACCCAATATATGCAGAAAAATATTGATGAAAGTCAATATTCATTCATGTTTAAAAAGTCCAGGCAAGTTAGAAAGAGACAGGAACTTCCTCAGCTTAATAAAGAGAAATTCAACCAAATGTGATCCGAAATAAACAAACATTGTAATCATTTCCTTTAAAATCAGACACAAGTATTCAGCACTTTTCTGTTCAGCGTTGTATATTCGGAGTATCTAATTAGTGATGCAACACAAGAAAAAAAGTAGAAGCAGAAAAGACTGGAAAGAAGGAGATAAAGCTATCGTTCTTTGCAGATGACATGATTGCATACATTTTAAAATATGTAAATTAATACAAATAATAAGGGAGCTTAGCAAGACAGGTAAATAGAAGAATGATTTATACATGTCTGTATTTCTATACACCAGTGAGAAGCAACTGGAAAATTTAATCAAGGTAGTATTTATAGCTGTATCAAAGAATATCAAATATTAAGGAATAAATTTAACAAAAATATTCAGTAAAGTGTAGAGAAAATTACAAAGCCGTATACAGAAAAATGCAAAAACAAATTCAAGGAGAAATTGAGATCAGCAAGCTTTTCCTATAAAGGTCCATATATTACATATTTTAGGCTCTGTGGGCCAGACATAGACTCGTTGCTACTATACAGTTCCACCCTTACAAAAGCAACCATACACAAGCTGTAAATCAGTGATTGTGTCTGTGTTCTAATAGAACTCTATTCCCAAAAACAGATGGCAGGCTATAGTTTGCCAGCTCCTGATACAGAAGAAGAGTTACTATTGTGTAGATGACTAGTTCTTCCTAAAACATACCAGAGAAAAGAAAGGCCAAAGAATAGCCAGGGCGCTTCTGGAGAAGAAAAGGAGAGGGACTTGCTCTACAAGTAATCAGGATTTATTAAGCGACTAGAGTAGTTAGGATGGAGTTGGTAGAGGAATCAGGGGTTGCTCATGGCATGAAATAGAGAGCTCAGAAGCAGACACACGTATTTATAGAGCATCGCCATGTGACTCAGGTGGCATGGTAGCCCGTCGTGAAGAAGGAACTGTTGAATCAGCGAGACTGGAGAAAAGATTATCCATGTGGAGAAAGATGGTACTGGAGCCTGCCTTATACATAAAAATCACTGTTAGGTAAATTAAGGACTTCAATGTCAAAATTAATAGTTGAAAACTTATAGTATCTCTCATGTTTTGGATTTTGTGTCTCTGATGTATATTCTGTGTCCTCCCCAGTTGGAGATACAGTAGGTTGGGGCATGATTGTTGAGAGCCTTGAGTGCCTAAGTAATGGGGAGCCGTGAGATTTCTAAAGAGGTGCTCTTTGGAAGGGCAGAGTGGAGTGAATGTGTGGCCATGGCTGGAGCAGGAGGCTCATCTGCGGATCCCAGGGTCAGACATTTTCCCATGGGATCAAGCAAGAGATGCTCTGGCAGATTCAAACAGTATCTAATACT